AGCCTCCCACTTGGAGTGGGAGGAGAATAACCCAGGTCTAAGGACTGCTAAGTCAGGATGTCATTTAACCTTCTCAGACATGCCGTTCCCTGCTTGATGGGGGATCCTAATGAAACGCCCGAAACATATGTTGGCGTTTATCAGTGGCCCAAATCTTCAGGTAGTTACCTCTGGCCTTAATGCTGGGTCCTGAGGCTGTGGTCAGCAGAGCCCAGGTCAGGGCCCTGTTCTTGCCACACCTACTTGATCCTCAGATGTGGAGGGAGGTAGGCACAGCCTCGGTCTTCATCCAGACACCCCTTCCCTTTGCCCTGAGACCTCAGACTCTTCCCTTTAACCCAAGACCCTGCCTCTTCCACTCTGCCCTTCTCAAGGGACGCTTCGATCACATCACTCCACCGTTCCAGGCCCCAGGTTAGGAGTAGTGGTGGGAGGAAGGGGAAAGGGCTGGGCCTCACTGCTCCACGCGACTGAAAGAACAACAGTATCTGAGAGAAAGAACAACACTGAAAAGGCTGCAGGCATGGGCTGTACCCAAGCGGATTTCTCATCTGGTCAATAAAGCTGTTTAGACCAGAACCCTGGTGTCCCAATCCTGTCTATGGAGCTGGGAAGGAACTCAATGGGAGTAATCAAAATTAGCAGGGCTTTGGGAAGCCGAGGTGGGTGGATCACCTGAGATTAGGAGTTCAAGACCAGCCTGGCTAACATGGTGAGATCCTATTTCTACTAAAAATACAAAAAATTAGCCAGGCACAGTGGCTCACGCCTGTAATCCCAGCACTTTGGGAGGCCAAGACGGGCAGATCATGAGGTCAGGAGTTCAAGACCGGCCTGGCCAATATGGTGAAACCCCGTCTCTAGTAAAAGTACAAAAATTAGTTGGGCATGGTGGCACTCGCCTGTAATCCCAGCTACTAGGGAGGCTGAGGCAGAAGAATTGCCTGGGAGGCGGAGGTTGCAGTAAGCCAAGATCACACCACTGCACTCCAGCCTGGGTGACAGAGTGAGACTCTGTCTCAAAAAAAAAAAAAAATTAGCTGGGCATGGTGGCGGGTGTCTGTAATCCCAGCTACCTGGGAGACTGAGGCAAGAGAATCCCTTGAACCCAGTAAGCAGAGGTTGCAGCAAACTGAGATCACGCCATTGCACTCCAGCCTGGGCGACAAGTGCAAAAATCTGTCAAAAAAAAAAAAAAAAAATTAGCAGGGAGTCTGGTTAAAATGAATCAAAGTAGATTTGTTCCTGCTTTTTCTAAGGACCAGTTACTTATCAGCATCAATTCCAACCAAACAACACTGTCTGAAGTGACCTGACCAACCAAATACCACTGCCTTGTTCTGTCTGGTCTCCGCGCCCAAATCTGGGCCTGAGAATCGCATGGACTTTGGACTTGGAGGGGCTCAGCCAGGCCCCAACGCTGTGCTCATAACTTCTCCCAACTTGGAAAGCCCCAGCCTAAGGGGGAAATTCAGCCAGAGGAACTTTCACTTCAAATCTAGAAAGCTCACTTCCCTAGGTGGAGGGACCTGGCTCCGTGCCGTTAGGGGCCCCACAGCAAGTCCATAGAAGGCCACAGTTTTTGGAAATAGGCTCATGTGAGGGGTCGCAGCATCCTTCATCTTAGACTCACCTGTCTAATGCATCCCAGCTGCTCTGCTTGAGCCCTTCTTGAAAATGTGCCCACACTAAAAATTTAAAACAAAGGCAGATGCTTTAACAACACCTCTTGTACGTACTTCCCAAATGACCAGCTCCAACAGTGGGCTTGACAGAGCCCCCTCCTCGACTCTGAGAACGGGACCTATGCATACATAACACTCATCAATGGTGCAGAGCGATAGGAAAGTGCAAGGTGACAGGGGGAAGAGCTGTGGGAGCTCAGAGGAGAATTTCGGTCCAGGGTGGGCACTGACAGGTTCTGCAATCGGGGTCAAGGGCTCCATCTTGGCAACCCCTCTGGCTCCAGCACAGGGCGTGGCCCACAAAAGCTGCTCTGGACAGGTTTGTGCAGCCAGGAGGGTGGCTGGTTCCACGCACACAGGTGGACCCTCCTGTTCTGGGAGGGGCCTGCAGGAGTGGCCGGGATGGGACCTTTGGGGGCCGAAAGCTGGAGAGAGGCTGCCCTCTGCTGGCTGCTCCGGAGGGCCTGTCGGCCACTCCTCCTGTCCCCTGCTCCGGTAGCTGTCCTGCCCCGGGGCCCCTGTCTTCCAGTGCAGCCCCACGGTGGGGAAGGGGCCCGGGCGCACCTCCTGGGAGTAAGACCCGGGTAAAGGCAGTGGGCTGTAAGCCAGCTGCGGCCAGGTCAGGAAGCACCCACTGGACAATGAAGGGCGCGGCGAGGAAAGAGGGACACCAGGCAGGGGAGGCACGGGGCGAAGGAGGGTCGGGTGACTGGAAGGCCCAGCATCCGCAGGCGCGGCGCTTGCGCCGTCCCAGGAGACACCAGGTGGCGCTGTGGGGTCAGGGCAAAAGGCGGGCGCTGCCTTTCCGCGCACCCCACGCCCCCTTCTTCTCCCCGTGGACCCTGAGGACAGCTCCTGCGCAAGACAGCGCACGCGTCGAATCCCCGACGCTCCCTTCTTCTCTGAGTACTGGCGCGCTTCGGGGCCCTGTGGAATACCAAACCCTGTGAAATTGACCCAGAGGGTCACCAAAGGGTGAGCAAGGTCTTTATGTCCACTTAGGTATTTCTTTTCTCGTTTCTGTCATCTCCGAGCAAGGCGTCCAGGGCGACCTCGGGAGAATGCATTTGGTGGGAGCAATCCCCCCTGCAGGAGCGGCCGAGCCCTGGGCTTTTTCGGATGTGATGGGAAACAGCTCTCCTCCCGATGGGCGGCAGGCCCAGCCTCCTCGGGCTGCCCATCTCCAAGAGCCTTAGCAAATTGTCTGGGTCACCTGAGAAGCTGGGAAGGCACAGGAAGACCAGGAGGCCGACTGGAGGGGTGAGGCCAGAGATCTTAGGGAGCGGGGGTTGGGGGCGTTAGAGCCGCTATTAGGTGTGAGAGTGATCCCTGAATCAATGGCACAGAAATTATTCGAGAGGGGCACCCAGTCGCTTCTCGAACTTTTGGCTAAGATGAAATGTGGGGGGCGCCCAGCGAGGCACGATCCCCCGACCCAGGTTGGTGAGGGTGGTAGAGGAGAGTGAGGAACGCAGGGATTAGCTCCTGGACGGTCTGGCCCTCTGCCCACCTCGCCCCCGTGCCACGCCCAGCCCTGGCCCCGCCTCCAAGCGCAGACCTCATTCTGAGAATCATTGGGGAAGCCTTTTAAAATTCTGATCCGGTTGGCTTGGGCGGGGCCTGGGAATCTGTATTCAACAAGCTCCTCAGGAGATTCTGACGCTCGCCCGCGCTCTGCCCGGCTTGAGAACCCGCGGACCAGCCCAGCCTCCCAGGGGGTGCTGGGCTCCACCCTGCAGCTCACCCTCCTGATGGGGCAACCGCTTAGCTGCCACCGCACCCCGCCCCGCCCCGCCCCGCCCCGCCCCGCAGCTGGGGCTGCCTCTGAATGGTTCCAATGATTAGAGAGGATGTCCTGGAACTTCCTATTTCTGTCCCCTGGAGTCATCCAGAACAGGTCTAATCCCTCTCCTGTGTGACAGGGCTTCAGAGATTTGAAGACAGCTGTCATCTGCCTGAGTGTGCCCCTCCCCACCAGAGATCCCCTGGCCTTTCAGGGCATCCTGATGGAGGCACCAGGGAGCCCACTGAGTCCAGTGGAGGGGGAAAAACACAGCCAGGGGTTGGGGCCCCTCCAGGGGCCAGAGAAACAGACTGGAGACTTAAAATAGGTCAAAGGGACAAAACGGAGGCAGCTCCTCCTGAGAAACGCCTGTCCCCTGCCTTTCTAGGGTGCAACTACCTCCACCCTAGTCTTCATTTGGACATTTTGGAGACATTATTATTCATCCAGCTTGTGTGCCTACTATATGCTATAGACCCTTTGAAACCTTACATGTATTACCTCATTTAATTGTCACAGTGGCCCTATGAAGTAGGTGCTGTCGTTTTATCCACTTACAACTGATCAAACCGAAGCCAAGAACCAAAGAGCAATTCAGCAACTGTCTCAATGTCAAATTGAGCAGGATATAAATGCAGGCAGCTGGGTCCACGTCCTATCTCTGCAGTGCCATATCTAACGCCCTTGCTTTAAGAAGAAACTGTCATGTTCTGGGAGTATGAGGCCTGGTGCTGGAACAGTGAGTTAAGACCACAGCAATACCTAACAGTTATTGAGCACATACTATGTGCCCAGCACTGGTCTAGATGTTGTCTTATTTGATCCTAGCACTGGGAGGTAATTATTTTATCGCTTTATTATATAAAAGGAAACTGAGATTGTGAATTTTAAAGAGACTTACTCAAGTCCCTGGCAAGTGGTGGAGCCAGGATTGGAACCAGCTGTGTGACTTTGGGCTGCCTCCTCCCCTCTGGGTGTCAGCTCCCCATTTGTGGAGTGAAGATGTTGGCCTAAATTAGTTCTGGGGAAATGCTTCTCAAGCTTTAATGTGCATATGAATCTCCTGGGGATCTTGTTAAAATGCAGATTCTAGTTCAGTGGTTTTGGGTGGGGCCTGAGATTGGACATCTCTCACAAGCTCCCAGGGGAAGTGGTGCTGATGTGGCTGATCCTGAGACCACACTTGAACAGCCAGGCTTCAGGGGATCTGCCCACCTCTGATGTCCGAGTTTATGGGCCTACGAAGACTCACCCTAAAGGCCATGAAAATTTCAGGAAGCAGATTGTCATGAATAAAGCCTTAGTGGGCATTTCCCATGCCTGGACAAGCCCTTGGTGCCTTTTCAGAAGCACCTGCTCCTGAGCCTTCTACATTTCCACTCTGTTGACCCCAACCTGACTCTTCCAGAGAGTTCAAGGGCTTGGTCCCATGCCAAGGGGGATTGTTGCTCCCTACTGGAGGAGTGAAGAGGTGGCTCTGACTTCTGGGGGTACCCACCAGTCTCATGGCAACCACACTGTCTAGTCCTTTAAAGGATGTTCACAGATATTCCTGGGCACAGAGTAATATCTATGTTTACATTGAGAGGTTACATTTGGCCTCCTCCCTTGAATTTTGATATGCTAATGTGACTTGGTATGGCCTCTAATTGAGGTCAGAAGTGTCACTTCTGAGAAGACTTCTTTAAGAGACACGGTGTGATTCCCCATGTCCCTTTTCCCTGTTGCAGAGATTGTGGAAGTAGGTGTCGTGATGGAACCTCAAGCAACCTGGATATGTGTATATCACAATGAGTAGAACCTCCTCCCCTGCCAGCTCAAGTTGGGCATATGGCACGAGTGAGATGGCATTTGCTGTGTGAAGCTACTGGGTTTGGGAGGAGCTTGGTTTTTTATTCTTTTTTTTTTTCTTTTTTTTAAAGAGGGAGTTTCACCATGTTGGTCAGGTTGGTCTTGAACTCCTGACCTCAGATGATCCACCTGCCTTGGCCTCCAAAGTGCTGGGATTACAGGCGTGAGCCACCGGAGAGGAGTTTGTTAACGCAGCATAACCTACCCCATCCTGACTAGTACACATACCAATATCACCTTAGATAGGCCAAGTCCAGTGTGGAAACCATATTTCTGCAAAGTCAGGATCATGGCGGGTCAAAGATCTAATGCTTAACTCCGGGACCTTCAGTAGGAGGGAATACCTTCTTGCAAGAGTAGGCGGGGATTCCTAAGGATGTGAACTCCTCCTCCCCTTGTGTTGCCATTCCCTGTTAAGTACAGAATTCTGATTCACACATTTGCCATTGTGTCCCTAAAGTCTAGCCCAGGGCCTGGCTCACAGAATGCTTAATTCTTAATTCACAAACAATGGGATTTACTCTGAAGTTCCTTTCTGTGAATCTCCCTGTAGATCGCATCCAAGAATATGCCATGAGCCTGCTTCCCTTCCCTAAACCCCTCCACTTGAGCAATCTGTTAATTTCTCCTTGACCTAAGCCTCAGGCTGAACAACTCACAGCCTTCTTCTCTGCCTGAGCTTGACAACGGCACTGTGTAAGAGCTTCCCTGTTATCAAAGTAATACTCACAAATTATATATATATAATTTTTTTTTTTTTTTTTTGAGACAGAGTCTCACTCTGTCACCCAGGCTAGAATGCAATGGTGCAATCTCAGCTCACTGCAACATCCACCTCCTGGGTTCAAGGGATCTTCTGCTTCAGCCTCTTGAGTAGCCAGGACTACAAGAGCATGCCACCACACCTCGCTAATTTTTGTATTTTTCTTAGAGAGCGGGTTTCACTATGTCGGCTAGGCAGGTCTCAAATGACTGACCTCATGATCCTCCCGCCTCGGCCTCCCAAAGTGCTGGGATGACAGGTATGAGCCACTGCACACGGCCAAATAATAATCTTTATAACTCTCAGGATGGAACATTTGAAAATCAGAGGCAAGTGGTAAAAAACTCATCCATAATCTCCTCATCTTGAAGGAACTTCTGTTGACACTGTTCTTTCCTATTTTCCTCTATGCATTCCCCTTTCCCCCTATAATTTTAGGGAGATCCTATGAATGTCTCCTCTTTGGGAAGAGAGGGAAAAGCCACCCACAAATGCAGAAAATGGCAGAGCTGGAAGGACTTATGAATCGTTCAACAAACTCCCTTATATTACCAATGGGAGCGCTGCTTTATGCTAGTGTGAGTACAGAGGTGTGAAAAGTCAAAACAAATGTCTGTCAAGACCTAAACCAAGCTAAGGGATTGTTGTCTCTGAGATTGGGGGACTAGAGGGGTGGTGAAAAGATACTGTCATGTTTTGAATCTTTTGCAACAAAAATGTATTCAAGCATTACTTGCATTTAAAGCACACTATTATTACTAGAAGAAAAGAGAAAGCAGTTTACAGGTCAAGGGCTTCACGGCTATTACTGGCCCGTTGGTTGAGGCCACTAGTTCCCTGGGCATCTGTCAGTCTCCTCCTAGTGTCCTTGCCCCTTGGCCAAGTGTCCTCAAGGAAGAGAGTCATTCCAGGGCAGCTCATTTGTTCCTAAAACATGGGCACCCAGATGCCAAGATGGCATGGGAACAGGGAAAATTCTACAGGCCCCAACCTGAGCCATAAGCCCACAAGTCCAATCTCTGTAAGACCCATGCTGGGATCAAATGCCTTCAAGTCCAGACTCAGCCCCATCAGAGAGGGGCAGTAGGTGCTCTCAAGACGAAAGGGATTCCTGGTGAATCAGGGAAGTTATTGGGCTGGAAAGTGATTAAAGGGCTGAGCGTGGGAGGGGATTTCCACTGAGAGAGCCAGGCCCAGGAGCAAGCCTGGGCGGGTAGGCTACAGGGTTGCTGCTCACTTGAAGTCTGTCGCAATGGTGCCCATAAAACCCAAGTCATCAGAGACTTGAAACCTCTGTCGATTTTTCCTTCTGTTTCCCTTTAGGAAAACAGAGATCCGAGGAGACCCCAAAGCCCTGGAACAAAGGGCTGTACATCAAAGGGGCGCGAGCAGGCCAGAAGTCTAATAGAGCAGTCAGCTGGGGAGTGGGTCTCCCTGCCCCCAGCTCCCAGGGAGAGGAGAGCAGCGAGGGCCCTGTGGATTGGAGGGTGGGTGCAGAAACCTGAAGGGAGAAGCAGGGTGGTAAGGAATAGGGCTGGGGACCAACGCATTTTCATGCCCTATCTAGGTGAGGAGGAGCTACCTGGCTTGAGAAATCCAGGAATGTAGAACAGATTGAGGAGTAACGATGTTTTCTTTTCTTGCCTATACAGGGGTTCCATAGCTCCCATAAAGTAGCCAGGTTTTTTTTTTTTTTTTTTTTTTTCAAATATGCACTAAATCTGCAAGACAGAACTCAACAGTCCCCATTTTACGGATGAGGAAACTGAGATCAGAGAGGGGAAACAATTGTGTAAGGTGTCACCAAGCTTGGGCTATGACGTGGGTTCCCTGTCTCCTAGGTGAGTGCTCCTTCCTCCACACCAGTGGTTCTCACACGTGTGCATTAGAATCACCTGGAGGGCTTGTTAAAACACGGATTGCTGGGCTCCAAACCCAGGTCTTGGGTGGAGCCTAGAATTTGCCTTTCTAACAAGTTCCCAGGAGATGCTGACGCCGCTGGTCTGAGGCTGCATTTTGAGAATCATTGATCTTGACCCTTGCTATCTAAAGTATATTCTGTTGACTAGCAGCATTGGTGTAACTTGGAAGCTTCTAGAAGTGCAGAATCTCTGGTCCTACCCTAGACCTATTCAATCAGAAGCTGCATTTGCAAGATCCCCAGGTGATCTGTTTTCACATTAGAGTCTGAGAAGCACTGGTCTATACCACACACCTCTTTCTGGACTGGGAGTCAAATTGAGGTATCCTAGATAAGCCTTCCAACTCCAGTTGCCAGGGGATAATGGGATAGGTGCCCAGGGTCCTGTAAGGGAAACAGCCCTTTTTTATGTTCCCCAAGGTTGGAGGGCAGAACTGCAGAGACAGAAGGGGCTGCATGCTCAGCTCTGGGTTTGCTCAGCTCTGGTATACACACCCCACCCCAGGAGGGTCTGTGTGCCCACCTTGGGGAATCCCGGGGATGCCTGGAGGCCAGCAACTGCCATTCAAGCCTCTAAATCAACCCCTGCTCTGAAGCCAGCCCCTGTGTTTGAAATTCTATTTAAAGAACATATGTAACACCTATGTGATTATTTTTAAAATACACCTGATACATAAGTATGATATCCAAACTATATGAAGCATGCTCATAAAATGACAGGTATTCTCACACTGCCCATCCCCAGCCTGGACATTCCACAGGTAACATATTGCTGTGAATCCTTCCAGGTATAACCTGTACAACAGAGAGGAACTTTTGTTCATGTGTGGTCATGCTATATGCCTTATTACATTTACTCTACCGTAATGTTTCCCCATGAAACAGCATATTTCAGGCATCTCAACCTACTAAGACCTGTGATCTGTTTGTTTTTAACTGCTGCACCGCATGAACATTTATGGACTGTGCAGTTGACTAGGT